TATTAATTGTTATTTATAATAACGCACGAACAACAATTTCCTTGCATTGTTATTCATGTAGTTTGTTAAACGCTTCGTACTGAACGGAGCGTTTGTTCAAGCGCGTGAAAGACCGGGCGGCCGGATCGGAGCCAACGCTCCCGAGTCGGAACTCGCGTCAACCGAGCGCTCTCATTGGTCGAGGTTTTTTGTTAATAACTCCTCAACCATACCTCGGACAACTTTTTCGCTAAGCAAAATGTTGTTTAAAATCATGTCAGGAAATATTAAATTTCCTTACACTAGTTTTGGGACACCTTGTATATATCCTACAAAAAAATGACATAAGCATTTGAAGAAGACGTTTTTTTCATGCAACATAATGAATTTTATATTTATTTAACTATATTGGTGCAAACGGATACGGTAAATCCTACCAAAAACCGGAAAAAATTCCAGAATATTAGTTACGCTAATGTGCAACTACCGTAATAATATAAAAATACTGCCGCCATTTTTTCAATAAAAAACCATTTCAGTTTTTAATGCTTTTTCTTTTTCTACAAGTAGAATTTGCAACCGAAAAATCTGAAAATATTCTCTAATGTTTGCTATCGGGCTGGTAATGTATTAGTTGATATTTAGGTAAAGATCGATTTGAGTTAGACCCAGGTGCAGGTTAAAGGAAAAAGAGACGTCACTGTGTTTCATTTGATAGCTGCGGGAATGTGCAAGATACGCAGACAGTCCCAAAGTGTTTTGCTTGGTAGCAATAGGAATGTATTAGAATCGCAGATAGTCCCAATGTGTTTCATTTGACAGCTGCAGGATGTGGATGATCCAGGGACTCTCAGTCCCTGTTGCCAATGGGGAATTAGGTAAAGACTTGTTGCTTTCACGGGTTACCGTCGTTGATACGTCTCGAGCGTTTAAGACGTATCGTCCGTGTAATACTCCAGTTATCAAGCTAATTTGGATTTGACAATCAGGATTTGAAATAAGAATATTGAAACGAATTTAGGAATTTGAATAATCAAATTATATTCTCTATTATTCGTATTACAATTTCGAACTAATTTTTTCGAACTATATTAGAATTCCTTCTTTAGTTTACGCAGTGAAGCCGCAGGAAAAATCTAAGTACAGAAGCTCATACAAAACTTTTCAACGAGGTGAGACCGGGCTTTTGCGTGCTAGAAGTCTAGATCAGGACTAATCCAAAGGGCTAGGGGGAGCGTCCTTTTATACGAAAGCGAAAGATAACCATATTTGGGCACATTCTAAAAGCTTCTATGGTAGCCTCGCATCGTGATTCACCTATGCGAGTTGACTGTCCTAGGTACAGTGTCGAGGTAGGTGTCGAGGTACCGAGTGTTTAACACGTGGGGAATGTTGTAAATATGACAAGGAATCGACGGTCGGGTTTCTTTAAGGGATGTTAAAAACATTTTCACTAAGGAATTTGGCCATCGAGTGGGGAAAAGTCTCCCGAAGGAAAGTTGTGAGAGACGGTTCAGTAGTTATCGAGTCGTGCACGTCAACTCAATGACGGATCCCGAAAAATCCAACAGAGTATTACGAAATAATCCGAGTATTCGCTTAACGCGAAGATGGTTATCCGCCGATTCCGATAAAAAGAGCGTCACCCCGATCGAGTCGCGCCCTTCGCGCATCGTGTAGTTCACGGATAGTGAAGTTCATTTAGTGAATGAAAAACAATCGGCTCCTGTCGGATACGTTTAATGTTAGAGTGCACGAACAAGTGCAGTGTAAGTGTTTGAAAATTTTTAAGTGAAGAGTGACGGTGGTGTAATGAAGTTGAGTTTAAGAACGTAGGAGCAACAATCTTAGTGTGTTAAAATTTTTAAGAGTGACAATTATTGTGCGGTTAATTTGCGGGGTTCCTTCCCTGAACAGAGGATCAGCTGTGGCCTACCTGCGAGCGGCAAGGACGCTGACCCACTGACCGTGGCTCATGGTGAGCAGGTGCACTTGCGGATTAATGGGTAAGTCTAATCTCTACAGTCTTTGCATTTTCTTTTTAATTCAATATTTCCTGCGACTTGTTAGTTCCTCATTTATCCTATCATCATCCATTAATTATCAACAATCTATCATTTCACCATCTAATCCACGTGAATAACGATTAAGTGTATTAATTGTTATTCATAATAACGCACGAACAACAATTTCCTTGCATTGTTATTCATGCAGTTTATAAAACGCTTCGTACTGAGCGGAGCGCTTGTTCAAATGCGTGAAAAGCCGCGCGGTCGGATCCGAGCCAACGCTCCCGAGTCGGAGCCCGCGTCGACCGAGCGCTCTGATTGGTCCGTGTTTTTTGTTAATAACTCGGTAACCAAGCCCCATTCTGCATTTTGCCAAAGGAAATTGTTGTTCAGGAAGACCCTCCCAATCTGCCATTTTCGGCTCCAACACCTTTTCTGGGACACCCTGTATATA